CACAGGCGGCGGCGGCGGCGGCGGCGGCACCAACGAAGCACGAGTAGAACTTCTACTGTAAGTAGGTGATCTACACCTATGCTTCTTAGTTAAATTTCATGATTTAATATGTTATTGAGGGAAAATGTGAATTAGTGAATGTTAGATATTATATGAAAGAATGAAACTATGTTATTGAGGGAAAATGTGAATTAGCGAATGTTAGATATTATATGAAAGAATGAAAGTCGTAATGATATTGTTATTTTGGATAGTATCCTGAATGTATATATGTTCAAGGTGAATGGTCTTTCGTATGAATTGCCAAGCGATGGAAGTATCGCTGACATAGAAAATATGAGAAGTGTGATATGTGGCATGAACTCCCATATGTTTAATATATGTTAAGATTCTGGGTAAAAGGATTACTATGCATCGATGCCTATGAGGCATGAACTAACATATATTTAGTGTATGTTAATATTCTAGGTAAGGGGATTACCATGCATTGATGCCTATGGAGCATGGACTACCGTACATTTAGTGTATGCTAGGATCCTAGGTAAGGGGATCACCGTGCATCAACTAGCATACATTTAGTGTATGTTAGGGTCTCGGGTAAGGAGATTGCTATGTATCGATGCCTATGAGGTGGTGATGATGATACTAGTGAAATTGGTATCGACAATGTGTTAGGCGGTAATAGATGTGGTTGATTTTATGGAATCTTGAATGGAAGTTGGAAATGAAAGATGAAATAGTTTTAGTATTTGAATGAGAAAAAGTTTCAATGGAAATAAAAATAGAGAAGTGAATAGAATAAGAATACATGTCTACCTTTTTTAAATTATTGGATATTTGTGTTACTATGCTTATTGTGATATTCATGTTTTAATAATATGTATTTTATTTCAGGACCATCGCATGCACGACAGGAGTAGATTCTAGCTTTTGTTCACTTTTTGTTGTGTAGGTTAGGGAGTATATCCTTATATTTTGTAATAGTGAAACATTTGTATAACTTAATTTGTATAATTAATGTTTAAACTTGAATAGATGGACTTAACTCTGAAATTCATATAACCATGTTTCATGTATGCATGTTTATCTCATTTATCCCTCTAATGATATTTGTTGTTTAATGTATGTTATAAATATGGTAGTTGAGATAATGATGATGGTTGTGAGATTGAGACCTAGGATGATTGAGTCATGATTGAGTTATGAAATGGAGGATATTTGAAGTGTAAACAGGTTATATGTCGATAACTTAGGACCTCCCGATATAGGGGAGACTTTGCCGAAATTTCAAAAGACTTTTATATGAAAACTATGTATATAAATTTTTTTTCCCTGTTTGCTTATGTGTTTGGAGGTGATTTGTTCCGGAAAAATTGGAAACGTTACAGTGGTTGCCATGCTCCTTGTTCATAAAGTTTAATCAACAGATGTTGAATTTGGTCATTGTCATCTTGACATCCTATAGTAGAGTTGAAGTTTTTTGAAAAAAACAGGTGAAGTTGGACGCATTTCAGATGGTATAAACAAGGTTGTATTATTCTCTGTTTGTAAAGTGCTTGTGAAAGACTTGTTTGGTTTGTATGAGTTCTAAATATTTTATTTCGTGTATTAGCATTTAACTTCAGAACTCAACTGTGATTTCATGCAGGGATCAATCAGATTCTGGGGGTAAGCGCACTTGGCTCCAGCTGACAGGACAGGTGGCAAGATATAGACGTGCTGAATTCCTTAGCAGGTCAGGAGACATGAGCCCCAAGAGGAAGATGCGCAACAGTCCAAGAAGCTCTTCTGCTTGGACCAACTCCCCTGTTAAAGGTGAGTAGTTAGGACAACAATACAGTTACACGATTTTGGTGCACAAATTGGTCACACAGTAAATATGAGAGGGGGGAGCCAGTGGATTAGAATCTTCTTGCTTATTTTGTCCTTGTTCTACAATTCCACTTTAGCCATAGGCTCTGATGCTAAATATGAAACAATCTCTGAACTAAGAATTCATATAAAACAATCCTATTTCATTCACAAAAAAATGTGAAAGAATTCTAAAAATAATTTTGACAATACAAGGCAGTCCCAAAATATTTAAATTTGTACACAGTTATCCTGAATGCTATTATTATTATATGATCTATCTATCTATCTATCTATCTATCTATAGTTTGTTCTTGAATTTAGGCCAAAATCTTCAAGTCAAGGACCAAATGGGCTTAAGAAAAAAATGATTCAATGAATAAGAGTCCAAAATACATGAGCCTAATTCTTTTATATATATTATTATCTTATTTAGAAAACACTTAATTATGATTAGGTTATGATATAACTAGCGATTAACACAAACCAAATTGATTTCTACAATTGTATCTACTTCTTTTTCTAAATTTTAAAATTGAAGAGTTAATTGGACACTTTTATAAACTCAACAACCAAACCATTTTAAGAGTTAAATAAATATTTAAGACTACAAAGGATAAAATGGAAATAAAATATTTTTGTATTTTTGGATATTTTAGTACCCAATCAAACAATGACAAAATTTAGGAATAAAAAAATAATCTAACATTTATTTGTTTTGGGTTTGTGTTATGGTGCATCACTGGTTTATTTTTATTTTTTTGTTGGGTTTGTGTTATGGTGCATCACTGGTTTATTTTTATTTTTTTGCTTACTTTCTTGTTTTTACTTTTTTTTTGCTGGTTCTGTATTTATATTGCTGCAATAAACCAGCTCTCTGGCTATCAAACTATCAGTTTGGTAGTTCATATCTCATGTATGTGCTAGTTGTTGCATTGGAATTTTTCATTATTGAAGCTAAAACTGATATGGTTCATTTTCTTTTCCCCAAACAATTCTCCATATGTACCATTCCGTGCTTATCCTAAAAGATTTATTGATAGAATTGGTTCGTAATTGTTTATGTCCTTGAATTCTGTTATAAATGTGCCCCCCAGTAGGTTTCAGAAACATTTAGAGTTTCCTTGCCTGATGATGACCAGAAATTCTTGTTGATATTTCAGGGCAAAAAATCTTGTTATTTACTCTTTACTTGGATAGAATGTACATGTAGATAACTGATCTGCTTACATTCCCTGCTACATCAAGTGCATAGTTCTTCGAATGGATATAAAATAGCAAATTCAGATGCTTCCTGAGCAATTTTTTTATGCTTCTAATCGATGACATGTTTTTTCATTTATTTTCTATCGTCTTTCTTTTCTAATGTTTTTGGATCATTCAGCAAGGTGCTGAATCCTTGTCATTTCTCAACCTTGTAGCATCGTGTGAGTTTCTTTTCTTGGCATTGGCAGGTTTGGTATCACCATCTTCTCTTTCGGCAACAGTAGTTAAGCAGGATTCCTACTCAACCTTCCACAAGACACCAAAGCAAAAGAAGTTCACAAAGAAGCAGCGGGAGGATTTCACCAGGGAAACAACACACCAAGCTGTGGCTGAATGGGTAGCGTCACCGGAAGTCACCAATTGGATCATCAAGAATGCTGATCGGATTCAACTCCTTCCAAGTAATTATAGCTCAGAAGAAATGGTGGAAAGTGAATCAGACTCGACAGGCGAGACTGTTGCTGGGAGTGGCAAGCCATTCAGCCTTTTTAATCGGCGGTGACTGGACCAGAGAAATCACGGTGGCAATCAGGGATCACGGCTTTTTTTTCTAGGATTAGCTAACCATTTTGATTAACAGTTTGTTTCCAGAATTAATCTCCTGAGGACATGCAAGGTTACCTCTGTAAGTAAAAAAATCACAGTTGTGCACAGAAGGGAAAGCCATTGTTAGTTCCTGATTACTTTCTGCTTGCTTGTATGGTAATATGCGGTGGGAGGCGCCTCTAATCCCACTACGGGGAAGAGTCGATTCCACCATCAATTGATGCTTGTGGCTGTGGTCAATGGTCATAATTAAGTTTAATTATAGAGTAGAATACTTTTTAACTATAACTTTCTATATATATATATATATATATATATAGAAAACACGTATTAAAAGCAAAAGCAAGAAACAAGAGGCAGAAAAAGAAAAATAGTTTTCTTTAAGTGTCAAACCTATCTATGAATATATTTGTTTATTTTTATATTTTAAAAATTTTAATTTTTTTATTTGCTCTAGACTAATAATTTTTTTAATGTTTTTAGATTAATTTAATATGGTGATAATAAAAATAATTTTTTTAAAATAAAAAATATTATTTTAATATACTTTTAAATAACAAATATTTAAAAAATAATTATAATTATATTTCTAAATAAGCTCATAACCATTCCATTTACAAGATGATGGAGTTTAATAAATAAAATCGTTTTGTTTATAAGTTAATTATAAGTAATGAATGTCATAATTTTGACATTTATATATTGAAATATCAAAATCAATTGGATAAAGGAATATTGGAGTGTGAAAATGAAAAATTTATTTTTTAAAAAATTATGAAATGGTGTTTCGATTGTAATTTTAAAAGGTTTCTTAAAATAGTATTAGTTTATTAAAGTTTTTTTTAATATAGTAAAAAAATATTTTTTTATTTTTGAAAAACTAAAACATCAAAATAATTTTAAAATAAAATAAAATAATATATATTTTTAATCTTTTTAAAAATATTATGAAAAAATAAAAACAAACATTCTCTTGAAAAATAAGCCATGGGAATATCTATATCAAACAACTTCAGAAGAACCCACCATCGTTCCTCACCATGCAGGCCGGAAGGCCCCACCCTCTCTTTATAAAATTAACCACACCCTCTCTTTCTTCTTCAAAAATCGAAAGCAACTTCCCCTCAAATTCCCTTCACCCAACACGCTCCCTTCTCCTTTCTCAATGCCACCCACCACCTCGTCACCTCTGCCATGCACATCCCCGACCTCTTCGCTCTCCATAACAGAAACAGTAAACGGGTCCCACAAATTCACAATTCAAGGCTATTCATTAGCCAAAGGAATTGGTGTAGGGA